ATTCGGCTTTGGGGCTCTGGCGAATTTTTGTCGTTCCAAATATGAAAGTTGTAACTCTCGTTTGATATACGAAACTGCGGTCAAGATATCCGTGGGATGTCCTGATCGCACAACAGGTCCTATTTTTGAGTCTAATCCTGTTAATAGACAATTTAATGTCATCGTTTCGATGAGGGAACTTTGAGCAGATTTTTGCTCGCGATTTAGATTTTGTCTATTCACGGCGGAATGCATTTTGGCTGCATGCGTCTGCAGTCTAGATGCAAAGGTTAGGGGTGATTCGTTGGGGAGTTGGCGCATGTGTTGAAGATCCGCGATTAAAGATGTGAGATCTCTAAGATCGCCAAAATGCGTTTCTAACAGGGACCGTATGTCTTCCCACGTGGAAGGCTTTCGGCTGTTCACAAGTTCGGCGGCACGTCCGCGAAGTTTGTTTTTAATATGTAAAACGACGAGAAGCCGCTGCTCCTCGACGGCCATTTGATATGCCGTTCGGCACGCGTTGATGAAGGTCGATAGCAATATCGGGTTTCCATCGTACTCGGGTACAATCGAAAATATTTCAGATAATCTATAAGGTTCAATGTTCGCATGAACGTTATCAGGAATTTCAGCTGGTTGGTAATCATCTGAACCGTTAGTAGACATTTTGAATGGAAAGTTGTTTCAAAAAGATTCAATAATGTCAAGGGAAAATGCAAAAAGATATAAATGTAAAATAGAAAAATACGTAGAAATGGGGAAAGATTCGTGAAAATCGACAATATATAGAGTAAATGTGCAAAAATGCAAATAAAAAGATGTAACAATCACACACACAGAGATAAATCGCAAAAAATAGTTAGATTAAAATTGTACGTTACCAAGGGTACATCGGGAGGCAGTCGTGTTCTCCAGGCGGCTAGTGGATCTCTTGCGATGTTTCCAGTAGTCTGTCTGCAGTTGGGTGGCTGCTGCTCGCTGTGTCCCCTGTTGTTTTCCTTCTTCTTGTTGCTTTGCAGTTTCTTACTTGTAGTTTTCCTACTTCAATGGGTTTCTTTCTTCTTAAGGCTCGTTGGTCCTTTTCAGCTTAAAGGATAGGCATCCACCACACTAGTTAGTATGCACGTGTTCTAATGCGTTGAAGCTATCCCACTTCTCTGACACCAATTTCTTAAATCACTAGATTTAGAAATAACTTTTTAAAAAAATTTTATTTGAGGACTGAAGCTTCAGTCCATATAAAATACAAAGGTGTACAAATGTGACATTTACGGAGTCTAACCGGGTATTGAACATAAAGTTTACATAAGTGACTGTTACGGTGCCTAGCCGGGTAATGAACGACATGAAATGGGCGCAAGGCCTATTTATACTATTGGTGTGCTTACAAAGCACTCCTAGAAAATAAAGCGTAAACAACGTGTTAGCGAGAAGTCGTTATCTGTTGCTGAGCTAGCGTCTGGTGCAACATTGTATGGAATAGTAAGTCCATTGTTTTGAGTGCATATAACATATATATAAATAATACCTATCTATTTCGATACCTTTTCTAAATATAAAAAAACATATATGCGATCGGCCTAACTGAACTATTATTTGCTATTGTATACATTGTCTACATTGTTTAAATTATATACATGAATGTCAAGACCTATACAATCAGGTGAAACGCTACTGCAGCAAACGATATTCCGCAAATCTCAAGAAGGATATAACACAAGCCGACATACAGTCCAGTAACAAATATAACGAAGCGGTGCGCAATTCCAAAACCAGCACGATACAAAAGTTATGCACAGGATAATGTCGCAGCGCAATGGCAGTCGGTCTTTCTGCACGCTGACCAAGCAGATTGAAAGGAACTTCCCACAGAGTTTCCTTCCATCACTTACGTGTCAGGATGGAATGATTGTAACTGACTCAAAGGTTAAGACGGAAGAGCTTGCCAAGATCTTTGCTGCCAACTCCACTATGGACGTTCCCCCAACGCCAGAGTGCCGCCTATTCAAAGGGTTCCCTACACTATGCGGGAGGTAACATGTCCAGCCCATCCCAAAAAAAGGATCTAAGACTCACCATTACAACTACAGGCCGATAGCTCTGCTTTCTGTTATAAGTAAGGTGATGGAGAGGTGCATAAGTCGCGAGCTTCTGAACTACCTCGAACGTCACCAACAGGCAGTATGGTTTCCGGCACCGGCGATTCACAGGGGACCGTCTAGCTTACGTCACACAATTGTGGAGTATACTTATCCAGTCGTATGGTGAGGCTGATCTTGTTGCTCTAGATATCACGCAAGCGTTCGATCAGCTGTGGCACGCGGCCCTCTTTTGCAAACTTCCATTCTGTGGCCTCCCAGAAAAGCTTTGCAGATGGGTGACTGACTTTCTCTCTGACCGCAAGATATCCGTCGTAATTGACATGTTCTCATCTTCATCTCACAACGTCAACGCGGGTGTTCCACAAGGATCGATCTTGGCTGCGACACTGTTCCTCTTACATATCAACGGCCTCCTTTTCTGTACGATCAACCCAATCCACAGCTTTGCTGATGACATCACTCTACATGCAGGAATTCAGAGCAACAAGCCGATCTCTGCCGCTGAGTTGGAAAATGAATGCTTCCAAAACACAGTACTGTATCTTGACGAACAGAAAGAGTCCTAGCACTCATCCAGTTCCGACGGATGGAAGAGTTCTGCCAAAGAGCCGTTTATTTTGGCTGGTCGGTGTCCAGATCACCAAGGACTTGATCTGTCCATACACGTCACGAAAAACCATTTCACTCATTTCCGTCTGTCTGTCTGTCTGTCCGTATGTCCAGTAATCTTATAACCACCTATAACTCGAGAAGTACCACTCGAGTTTTGATGAAAGTTGCACGTAGTATTACTACTATACCATGATTTGCAGCTTTTGAAATTCGGTCCAGTGGTGGCGGAGTTAGGGGTAGAAACACGAAAAAAATAAAAACCTCAAACTACGTTATTTGATGTTTCTGAGGCTCCTGATCATTTTCTGATTTTTTTAGGTGAAAATCGGGGGTTGGGGGTTGAAGCGGATGTGGTTGGGTGTATATGAGTTTTGATAGCAGTATATTTATACGCTTCGAACCCCATTAATTTTACGCACCTATTAGTACATACGTTACATATTTCGCACATCATAGATTTCCGCGTACATTTGCCCTAAAACTAGAAATATTTATAGACGGGACACACGGTCGCGGTCAGCTGTAATGCAACCTTCATGCGTTTGATTGACACTGACTGCATGGCCAGTTCTCTCGAGTTTGCATGGGCCTGTTTGTCTGACTTAAGGCATTCATTTTTTTGTTATACGTGTTTGTAGCTAGTTCAGAGGACTAACTTATGCTGAACATAATGGTTTATGAACTTGGGACAACGTTGCGTGAGAAGTGCAGAGTCAACCTACTTGACGCTATTTTTTTGTTTCAAGGCACTGCAACCTGCATTTCACCCCTGTAGTTTGTGGGCTGAAAAATTGTAAGAAATTTGGAATATGTAGAGAGAATACGACTGAGTATAACGAACGTACATTAGCTGTTCATTGCGTGTCTATATAGACAAACTTTTGCTTTAGTCCCCAAATGCCTGAGCATGCGGGTGTAGAGCCCTGTGGTGGAAAATTGGTTATACATGTTCATAGCCAACTTTTTTCTTAACTTGTGCCGAACATAACCCTTTCTGAACTGATAACAGCGTTGCGTAGGAGGTGCAGAGTCAATAGAGTCAATCTTCTTGACGCCATTTTTTATTGGAGGTCCTCATCTGCTTGCTATCTCTTGTTACGTGGCGAAAACGTCATGTTTTATGCTTGGTGCTGTTGTATTAAATAAAGTTGACGGGAGCTTAATTTGATTATCCATTCTGATGTGTGAACAATAATACCCTACAGTTACATATATCGTAATGGGCGAGTCTATTGGACATACAATGATCCTCGGACCAATGATACAATGCTACAGGACATGCGCGCATCCCTCAAAGGATTCGATTGGGATTATCAAAGCGGATGCCATTTCTTGAGCAGTGTCGTAGTCTATCTTGGCAGAAGTAAAATAAATGGCACTGCCATAGACACAAACAGCTAATACGTATGAGTTTTGCATAAATGGCAACTTGACAACCGTTGTGGGACCAGAGGGTAGACTCGCTGCTCTAGGGTGAGCGCTAAGCGTGCCTTGTAGGAGAACCTAGGCCCTAGTGCCAAGTGTACTTAGTTTTTGCGTCTAGATAGATAGAGGTGACTGATGAGCCCGTATGTGCACTCCGTGGGATAAAAGAGGAACCCTTGGCCTGCATCCTACATTAACTTACCGTTCCGTGCTGCCAGATATGCGTGCCTACTAAAGCATTTAAATCTCATTGATGGACTGCCGCCTTTTTGTACGTAAGGAGCCTTGAAAGATTAAACCTATTCTTGAACTGTCTCTTGAACTGTCTAAGGCCACCCTATGTACAAAGAAGCGATTCTGTAAGCTGTTTTCAATGTGCAGAGCTCCAGAGCTTGAAGCAAAAGCCTGGCGCCTTTGGCTGGCAGCAAGATCACGAAGAAAGTGTCAGAGGGACAGAGACCGTAGGCTTGTCGATAGAAGAGAGCCAGATGACCGACAACCGCTCGCCAAGGAAATGTCATCTATAAGTCGGACCCTTCTCCTCTGATAGCGTCATGCAGCTTTTCGGTCTTACAGCCGGTGCACACGGACGTATGTTGACGGTACGGTAATGCAACGTCGACGCAGACAGTGTTTTTAAGATTTCACACGAGCCTACAATAACGCATGCAGTTCTCTCGACGCGACGCATGTAGCAAGATGGATTTTGATCATGAAAAATGTGTTTTATTTGCATATTATACGTATATAAGTATAATAGTTTTAAAAAGAAAAGCAAATACTGGGTACACCCTTATGTCCGTGCATTAAAAGGACCATCTGTTCGTGATTTTAGAATGAGTTCCAAATCGTTTGACGAATTACATGACGTCTCCTTACCTCTTCAATCAATACTTCAGTGTCTATATCAGCGTCCGTCATTTTCAACACACTGCTTTCCGTCGCTCGTGTGCACTCAATGATATAATCTACTGTACCGCTTCTCCGGCGGAACGTCGAAATGTCGTTGCAGCCAAGCCATCATCGCACGTCGGGTTTTCAACGTTACGGCACTGTCAAAATACGTCCGTGTGCACCGGCTGTTAGTTGTGGATTATTTAGAGAATATTTGATGAGCGCGCAATACTTTAATGGTTGGCAGAGAATTGAAGCGCAATGAAACAGTAAGGTCACTTATTTTGGGTGGTTTTAATCGTCAAACGGTACGCTACCAATTTCAAGAAATTCTTATGTGAAGTGGGTCAACAAGGTATTGGTGCACTCCACATTTTCTTGAATCTCAATAATGGAAAGGTGATTTTTTTGAAAACTAACATACAAATAGTAATTTTTGACATCAGTCGATTGAGCAAATAATAAAATAATATTAATAGGAATTTCGAAATTCAAATAACAAGTAAATAAGTTTTAACAAAATTCACTTACAGCCAGTACTTTGCTATCATACTATCTGCATCAACTAGAGGTTCTGAGTTATTTCTTGTCCGATTTGGCCCAATTTCTGCATGAGAACATCTTGTAGCTGTCGTTTTGCAGATATTTTATTTTTCAGGCCTTCAGGTCCAGCAACTACCGCAAATGCTTAATAGGATTGATATTCAGGGATTGGGGATTGCGCAGGAACATTGTAAGGTAATCATTGCTTTGCTTTGATGGCGATCTGCTTAGGATCAGTATCCTGCTGAAAGACTTTTTCCACACTGCTGTTCAAGTTATTGGGTAAAATGTCAACATACTTGTCCGCAACACTTAATTTGAAGTGAGACGTGTCAGCCCAACAGTGTAAAATGGTGGCGGGAGCCTGTCAGTCCGATTCTGTATGTCGTCGAATGGTGTTGGAGATCTAAGCTTCATTGAAGGCATTATCAATGCAGACAAGTATATTGACATTTTGCGCAATAATTTGAATAGCAGTACTGAAAAAATGGGGATCAGAGATATATGTACTTTTCAGCAGGATAACGATCTTAAGCACACCGCTACTGAAACAACGGAATAGGTACTTTACAATGGTCCAGCACAACTCAAAACTCCATCGCAATAACCGGATCTCATTAAATATTTGTAGTACCGAAAGGCCGGAAAACTAGAATTTCTACCAAACGACATCTACAAGATGTTTTTATGCAAGAAATTGGACAAAAGATATGTAACTGAGCCTCCATGCCACGATGGCCTTAGGCCATAATTGATGCAAATCGTATGATAACAAAGTACTAATAGTAATTAAATTTTGTAACCACTTGTTTGCTTTTTTATTACAGTAATATTTTTTTGGACTCTTGAGATTTACAATTCCTATTATTCTTATATTAATGTTAATTTGCTCAATTTATTGCCATCAAGAATGACTATTCGGATATTAGTTTTCAGATTAACTTAGAAGCAACAAGTTCATCTTTTTGTTGTTGAGACTAAAGGAGACAACAAAGTGTGCTCATACTGTCTTGACCTACAAAATTTCGTTCACAAAAAGTACGTATGGTTACATGGGTTCTAAGACATGCAACTAACCGGAAACGTGGAAACAATTCCAAGGTGAATTAGTAACGTTACGGTTCATAAATACAATGGTACTTTATATGAAAATGTCCTCTTCAAATTATTATCATGCTCTATCGACTAGACTAAATTGAAAGCTGATCGATAAGACACAGATTTCCTTACGTCGCACCTCTAGCTATGTACGAATATTTCCACTAAGAAAATTTATAGCGTAAATGTAAGGTGATGCACCAAGCTTGACGACGTTCGGGTAATATCTTATTTCCTAATATCCAATATATCATATTTCCGGACTAATAAGCATACATAGTATAGGGTCACAAAAACTGCCATACCAGCCCGCACATGGAGTGTCAAATACTCTTTAGATTACCAACGCGTTTAGCTTGCGTGAAAATCATTATTGTAAAGATCATTCATAGAACAGTGAAACTATACTGCTGTGTTGATGTTCTATGCAAATTGCGGCACTGCTATGATGATGACCTCTTATGTAGAGATGCTTAGGTTTGCACTTTTCAATTCTTTTGTTCTAGATTAAGTTATAAATAGTAGGTGCATACTTGTGAAAGAATGTGACCAGTACTCATTCGTCTTCTATTAAATAAAGCCGCTTTTTTAAAAGTTAGCATATTTATAATTGGCGCTGGGAACAGGATCTATAAGTGAATTTATTTAGCATCTAAAAGTGACTAATAATTTGCAATATTTAATGTCCGATTCTGAGTTTAATTCTGTAATCGAAAATACATCTGTTAGACAAGTTATTTTGACATCCTCACATCTTAATTGTAATTAGCCAACCATGTCCATTCAAGATTTGCAAATTAAATTTAACTTAGCTAAGTATACGGTACCAGAAGATCATAGAGGTCATAAAGATCTAATTTATTTTTTGGATAATTCAGATAAAACTTATTACAGAATTTGCCAATACACCTTTTCTTTTATTCATTCATCCAAAATGTCATTTCTCAGCTAAAAAGTAAAGTGAGAGATTCATTGCATCTAGAAACGAAGAAACTCTTCTCACTGCTTTATAGACTTTAGTTCAGAAACCTAACAAAAAATATGAAGACTTTTACCAAGAAATTAAATATTAGGCAACAGAAAGACAAGAAAAAATAATCAAAATCGAAATGAAGAAATTATAACCTTAGAAGGTGCAGTATATCTCAAATCTACATTAGATCGTTCACATAAAACAAAACCCCTGCATTCTAAAGATACCTCTTATGGACAAAAAATGCCCCTATTAATCTGTGCACTAAAGAAACAAAAAATAGATTAAATAGAGTAAAACAGTAACGTAAAATTTCTAACTTGCAGGATTCTGTTCCAGGCCATTCAACTAGCCGGCCTAGCGATCCAGCTGATCAAGAATAAAGCCCCATGTTTTAAGCAAGAGCTAGGTAGCGCCTATCTACTAAATGCGTACCATAAGACATTTTTTTCGTATAAATCTCACCCTTATTGATGAAAATATCAAGCAAATAACGGGGGAGTTGTCCTTCCTTGGTGAGATATAGGGACGATAGAACTGAGTTGTCGGGGCCAAGCCTATTTTGGGAAGAACCTTTTCAGTAGGTTCCATATTATATTATATATTTCTCAATTGTATATCCAGATATTAAAACACATTGCATGGGGGGAAGGTAGCTTCCCACCTCATGGAATTCATGTCCGTGTCCATACTCGGGGAAACGGTAGCTTCTCACCGTATGGAAGTCATGCCCAACATGGATACCTTAATAATCCAGTGCTTAAACAGCCAAGCCAGATTTATTGATTGGTAGGAAAAACAGTCCAGAAACCAGAATATTACTTTGTCGCGTCCATACCCAAAAGCTCCGACGTTACCTCTGACTCAGAGATAACAGAACAATATGACAACTTCAAAGTAACAATCCCTATACACATCCTGGCATGATATACTTTCAGACTCCAGCGATTGCCACCAGAGACAGCTAAGCGGTCACACAAACCTAGGAACTCACGTCGACCAAAGGCCATTGTATCAATATCCAGAACACTTCGACATTTCTGCTGACAGATGAAACCGAGCAGTAATTGCCTGCCTGACAACCCGGCTTTGTGAGTCTCACATCAGCCTCCAGGGTCTGAGGGTATTGTACCTCTGTAGATGAAAACACACATGACATACACTAGAGCAAGATAATAAAAAACCTCTTCACCTTTACCCGACCATCTCAGAGGGAGGGTTGTGTTTTTTGCTCCTGGACAAAAAACTATATCAGGCTGCAGTCCAAAGGGCTTGATAGATTTTGACATTATGACACTATGACACTATGTTAAAATTTTAGAAAATCAGAATAGCGGATTTTAATTGAATATTTCTGCTTTGAAATTCTTGTTTCATGGAATGACTTGATGGATTTTGCTATACGAAGTGCCTCTAGATTTGTCTTGACAGTGCGATTGATGTTGGATATACTAGACTTTAATAAAATCAAAATAACGGATTTTGAACGCTTTAATTTTTAATTCAATTTTGAAATTACCATTTATTGAAATACAGCCCAAACAACTGGATGGACATCTGAGGTGTCCTTAGATTTGCCTTGACATCATAATTTGAACTGCATTATTTTCAGTTACTGTAGTCTCACCTCTGAATTTTTTTTTTTACGGACTACATCTGAAATGGCTTGGTGTTCTTTGACGTTATGTGATGCTGCTAGATAAATCTTCACAGTCAGAGTGACACTGGTTATATTAATATTTTATGAGATCAAAAATAACCCAAACTGACCTTTTGATCTGTTCAAGATAGCAAACTGAAATTTGGGTTGATGATATTGATGCGCGAATACCATATTTGATCAAAAATTTCATCTATGCAATTTATATTTTATGGGCTGCAGCCGAAACGGCTCAACGGATTTTGACTTACGAGGTATTGTTGGATCCGTCTTAGCTGTGATAGTGACACTATCAATATTAAAATTTTGTAAAACCAAACGGAGGATTTTAATCCACAACTTCAACTTTGAAATTCCTATTTAACGGGCTACAGCTTAAACGGCTTGATGGTCTTTGACATATGGCCTGTCTCTACATTTGACTTGACAGTGCAAGGGTTTTTTTTATTTTTTTAAAATGTACTCGTCAATTACTGTAGTTTCTTATTTTCAAATTTACACTGTTTAAGGGCCGATTTCACCAGTTGACACACCGTTATTCTGCACCAATAGGGTACGAGTACTAAACAGTCCCTCAAATATACCCAATCAGCCTCAAGATCTGTCCGTCAAATGTTTGGCAGCAAATAGCATCAAAGTATTCAAAACAAAACAACGTAAAATATGAATTGACATCTTGCCATTGAAATGTTTTCAGTTTATTAAATATTATGAAATTATATAAAACTGAGCCAAAATTTAAAAAAAAAATGGTTGATGGCTGAGTAAAATCCATTTTTTTCAGTTTAGCTGAAGGTTTCTTCATGTTTTTGCAACTTTTGTAATCCATATGTGATTATATTAACTCAACATCACCTACTGGGTGTTCATAGTTTATCCTACCTTTGCAAACTTGCACTTACATGAAAAAGCCTTTT